GTTACTTGCTAGAATTAGGTTTACTCTGATGATGTCAATAATCATTGACGAAAGCTTAGACCTTTAATTAAAAGCACATCGAACGAAGCACCCTAGTTTTATTTTGCTTCCTCAGTTATAAAAGGGTACTTCCCAGTATTATCTCCTTTTCACTATATATATATATATATATATATATATATATATATATATATATATAAACTAAAGCGTAAAACTAAATTGCAAGAAGACAAAAATAATGATCATTAGTAAGAACACCAACATAAACGCCCAAATTACAATAGTCGATACAACGTTAGAAAGAGTGAAAAAATATGCTATTTATGCTGCAATATTAAGGATACTTGAAATCAAAGCTACGAAGTGAAAACTCAGAAGTTGAAAAAGCCAGAAGCTCTTTTAACAGCCTTAGGAAGATTATCTGCAATTTATCTTTAGGTATCAATATACTCAGAATACTAAGAATTCTTCGATGTTACATATTTAGTGTCCTCCTCTATGGAGTAGAAAGCTGGAGCCTCACAGAAGATGCCATAGAACGGTTGGATTCATTTGAAACGTGGTGAGAGCGACGTATGTTGAGGGTCTCATATATACACCACACAATCAACATAACTATTCTCAAGAAGCTAAGAAAAGATAAAGAAATTATTAACACCATAAAAAAAAGTATATTCTGATGTCTGATAAAACGTATGTCATTTAAATTAATTGCTTGCTTGCTTGAAAATAGCCTTCTTGAGAAAGGTGCTTTGCCGAAACAGCAGTAGTGATAGTAAATCATATTAAAATGTTGAAAACAAAAGTTTTCAGTGTTTTATTGCTTGCTAAATATTCAAAATAAAATAAAACAGTCGCAGGTAATTATTTTTAATTTTTTTATACTGTTATAGATACTTATTGGCTATGGAACGTTTATGAACAACCTGAATATCGCAGTCCTTGCAGCAGACCTTTTTAAAAACGTTTACAATGGATATGCTCGACCAATAAGTGAGACTCTAAAAAAGTCCGCATTCAAGTATAGCTACACTGTCAGAAAATATTTAATTATATATTCTTTGTTAATGCTAGCTTTGTACATAATAGTGTCAATATTCTTTATTGATCACAAAAAACAACTTTACTATAAAATAATCAAAGATTTTTTCCTAGGCAGAACTGAAGCTCTAGTATGGTTCTTCCTATTTATAATGCCCCATTCGTTTTTGTTTAGTCTACAACTGATATTTTTAAATTGTTACTTTTCAACCCATGCTTATTATTGCTTAAAAGCTTTGAATGAACAAATTCAAATGTTAATTGATTTCGAGGTGGATTTTAAAACTACAGGCAACTACTCTGTCGAATATCAAACAAGAGTTCGCAGTGATATGATATATTTTAGCACACAGCTTGAACATATTAAAATGTAAGTTATATATTTATTGTTTATTTTGTTGTTAAAAATATGTTTTTTATTATCATTCAAAATTTTTTACAACCTGTTTTGCAATAAAAACAATAGGTAGAATTATTTGTCTTTACAATATCAGAGAGATGTAGGGTCCACTGGCCAAAGCATCAGAAACATATGCAGGGTGTTTTAAAAAGGTATGTTTTTAAAGGTATGTATGTTTTAAAAAGGTATGTATGTCATTAAATCACGCATTCCGAGGAAAAAAATAAATTGATTGAATCCAACTTACCTTAGTATGAAAGTGTACACAAAAATGTTACTTCTTCTTCTTCTTCTTAGCCTTCTGTCGTCCATGTTTGGACATAGGCCTCTTCCAACTCCTTCCATCGGTCTCTATCCTGAGCAACATATTTCCAATTTGTTCCAGCTATTCTTTTAATGTCATCAACCCATCTCATATGTGGTCCAGACCCACTAAGAGGAAGGTTGTTTACTTTCGTAAGGTCTCCAATGTTGTAGTATTCCAACGTTGGACTTTCTGTCTAGCAGTGTGGCCCGCGAAGCTCCATTTAAGTTTGGCAATTTTTGTTGTTATGTCCTCGACTTTTGTTTTGGATCTTACCCAGTGGTTCCTCTTTTTATCTGACAGCCGCATACCTAACATTGCTCTTTCCATTGTTTTTTCTGTTGTGGCTAGGTTCAGGTTTGACATCCATATGTCATGATAGGAAGGATGCTTTGGTTCTCTTTGTCAAGTCTCAGGATTTGACCTAGGTAGATATATTCCTGGATTTGTTCTATCTCACTGTCGTTTATAGTTATATGTCTGGGGTCATCTGTGTTTGTCATTATTTATGTTTTTTTCATATTCATTTTTAGGCCGACGAATTGGGAGCTGGCTGATAGTTCCCCTAATATAATTTGCAGGTCCTCGCTATAATCACTATGTCGTCAGCGAATCTGAGGTGGTTTAACTTGTTGCCATTAACGTTAATGCCATAGGTTGACCAATTTGTAGTTTTGAAGACGTCTTCTAGGGCTAGGTTGAAAAGCTTTGGCGGTATTACGTCTGCTTGTCTCATTTATCTCTTAATGGGGATAGGATTTGTATTTTCATCTAGTTGTACTAACATAGTTGCATTTTTATATATATTATGTATTATTTGGCTGTATCTTGAATCTATTCTACAATTATTAATATCTTGTTCTATGGCCCACATCTCGATACTATCAAACGCCTTTTCATAGTCGACGAAGGCAAGAAATACGGGTAGTTGATATTCATTTGCCTTTTTTATCAATGTTCTCATTGTCAGCAGATGGTCTGATGTACTATATCCTTTGCGGAAGCCAGCCTGTTTAACTGGTTCGTAATTATTCATTTTGTAGGTTAACCGGTTATTATTAATTCTTATAAATAGTTTGTATACTTGACTGAGCAACGATATAGGTCTATAATTCTGTAGATTCAATTATACCGTCGTGTCCTGGAGCTTTATTATTTTTTAGTTCTATTTAAGCTCTTTCTATTTCGTATCCCTTTATATTTTGTAGTACTTCTGATCCCACGTTTTTTATTTTTTTTTTGACGTTCTTCTTTGTTGTTTCATGAGACTGGCCTTGCGAGCTGTACAAGGATGTGTAGAAGTCTTCGACAATATTTGTTATTTTATATTTGTCCTTCTCTACCTTATTGTTAGCGTGTTTATTTTGATGATTTTTTGAACTCCCAGTGCGGGTCTTAGACATTTTAAGCCTCTGTTGTTTTCAATGACTCGCTCTACTAAGTTCTCGTTCCATTTTTGTATGTCGCGTTTTAGTTCTTTTCTAATTGTTTTATTAAGTTCTCTATATTCTTGAGTATGACGTTTGTTTTGCGCTAGTAGTTGTCTTCTTTCCGTCATTAGCTGTTTAGTTTCATTGCTTATTTTGTCTTCTTTAGTCCTTGTTTTCTTTGCGACCTGTAGTCCTGCTGCGAAAAGGTTTTTATTTAGGTTTTTATTAATCCCGTCAATTTGATCTTGATTATGTGAAGGATCCGATTCGAACTTATCCGCTAAGACCTCTTGGAATTGCTCTTTATTTGTTCTTAGTTTAAAGGCATCTATCCTCGTTGTTTTTTTAAAAATCCTTTTTCTCTCTTCTTTCATGTTAATATTTATTTTTGCTCTGACTATACGATGGTCACTGCCCGTTGTTACGTTGTTTATTGTTGTGACGTCTTCAAATATTCCTTTGTTGTTTAAGAGAAAATAGTCTATTTCATTTTTGGTAGTTCCGTTAGGTGCGACCCATGTCCACTTTCTCTTAGGTTTCTTTTTGTAGAAGGTATTCATAACATACATGTTTTCTTGTTCCAGGAATTCCATGAGTTTTTCTCCTCTTGTGTTTCTTGTGCCGAATCCAAAGTTTCCAATCTTGCTTTCAGAGTCTTCAATCTTACTTCCAATTTTGGCTTTATTACTCCCATTATTACTATTTTGGATTCTTTGTTGTTGTCTATAGCTTTTTTAACGTCTTCGTAAAAAGAATTTATTTCCTCATTGGTTGCTTTGTCAGTTGGAGCATAAACTTGCACGATCTTCATTTCAGTTTTTGAATTTAGTTTTAAGAATATGTATGTAACCCTGTCTGAAAAATGTTACAGCCCTTTGAATTTACAAAATAAAAATTGTTTTTTTTTGCATTATCTCCTAAAGTACTTGACATTTTGAAATAAAAATGGATAGGTGCATTTCTTGCTCTGAAAGCATTTTTCATAAAAAAGAAACAATAAAATCTAAGCGCACAGAAAATTTTTAAGAAGAGTGTGCAGCACTAAATATCCCCAAACCTTTGAGTACGTACAAATCAAATGAAATTTGTGGCATCATTAGTTTAATACATTATTTTTAAAAAAATTATTTCCTTTTATCACTTTTTTCAAAAAACAGTTTTGATTGAGTTACAGCCCTTTTCATTCAACTTTAAAAAATTACATGCAACTAAATAAATTGCTTAAATAAATTAACACATACAAAAAATGTCTATAACCTATATAAATATAATATTACAGTAAATGTTCAAAATTATCCCTATTTTCTTCAATTCACATTCGGTATCGTTTTAATACGGAAAACCAAATGCACCGAAAAAGCATATTTTTCTGACGAAATTGATTTGCAGCTTCAATAATTCTAACCCTCAATTGTTGTTAGTCCTCTATTGTTACAGAATACACTTCCTCTTTCATAAACGCCCAAAAGCAAAAGTCCATGGGGTTAAGACCTGGACTTCTGGGTGGCCCAGAAATAGATGCGTCACGACCCCTTCCAAGCCACCGTCCAGGATACTGCCTACAAAGGTATTTTTGGACTTTATTACTGTAATGCGGTGAAGCACCATCTTCTAGAAACTACTTATTTTGCCTTATTGTGATCTTCACTTCTTCCAAATACTCATGTAAATCGTTTGCCAAGAACTGCAAAAAATTATCACCATATTAATTGTTCGGAAGAAATACTGGGCCTATTAGCTTGTTATCCACAATTCCTGTCCAAACATTAACTTTGAAAGTCCTTTGGTGATGAGCCATTTTTTTGGAGTGAGGATTTTATTCGGCTCAAATGTGCTCATTATAATGGTTTATTATTCCATTTCTACTGAAAGTAGCCTCGTCGGTAAACAAAATATTTCTAATAAAATTAACATTTTGAGTGTATTCCATTAACAACCAATCGCAAAATCCAATCCTTTTAGGATAATCTTCAACCAATAACTCTTGAACCGTTGTTAAGTGATAGGGTTTATGCAGCTGATCTTTCAAATGCCTACAAACCCTTAAGTGAGGAACATTTATTTGAACAGCTATTACCCTTGTACTTGTTCCAGGGACTTCTTCAATGATTTCTAAAATGCCTTTATCAGTTGCATCCATTATTATACGACCACTATTGCCAGCAACTTGCAGTGGAAATGTACCCGTTTCCCATAAAGGGCAATCAATGGTCAGAAATATTCGTCTATCGGGTGTTTTTCGATTGGGGTCTTTACTGCATAACGCCTTGCGACTGCTGCACTATTTTCTTGACATTCACCTACTATATTCCCGATAGTTTATTGAAATCATAATTTAATCTGATCCAACTCACCCAAAGGTAAATGCATATCTGCCATTTCCAGAAATGTGTAGGCCATTGTAATATCAAAATTTTTAATATTATTAATCCTATTACACAATAAATGATAGTTTCAAATTAGTGACTATTATTGATGGAACTGTTCGTAATTATTGTATCCGTAGAAACTAATTGTAATTTTATGGCCACCTAAGAAAAAACTAGTTTTTTGAAAAAGTGATAAGAAGTAAAAAAGTTTTAAAAATAATGTGTTAAACTAATGATGCCACAAAATTCATTTGATTTAAACCAGGGATGGCTAACCCGCGGCACGCGTGCCACTCTGTGGCACGATTGAGTCCTATCAGTGGCACGCGTAGCGTGCCACTGATAGGACTTTCAAACTGATCAAACTTTCAAAAAAATTAAAACTTGAAAAACAAAAAATAATAAGAAGAAACTTGGTAGGTTTACTGAAGTTACGATAGATGTGGCACCATTGCATCCTCTGGCGAGCGATATTGCTGCAATTGGTGCACGTGATCCTAGCTGTCGTAATGTGCAAAAGGACTGCGTTACCCTTGCTTAGTTTATTTTAAACTGCCCCGTTGTATGTGCACATTTTGTCATTGCGCATTGTTTCTTTAAAATTTTAAAAGTATTTGTTCGATATGTCCACGAGTAAGCCTTCGACTTCAAAACGAAAATACGAAGATGATATTGCAATTCGTGATTTTCAACCTGCTTGAGAAGAACAATTTTTATTTACTAATCGTAATACTTCAAAGCCTGTTTGTTTGATATGTGGATTGTCTGTAGCAGTTCCGAAAAAATTTGACCTGGAACGACATTATAAACAACTGCATAAGGACTTCAGCAACAAATATCCTATTGGTTTACATTTGCGAGCCGACTTTATTAAAAAAAAAAAAAAAGAAAACCCTAGCCAGCCAACAGTCACTGTTTCAGAAGGGAAATGATGAAATGGAAACTATGGTTAAAACATCATATGAACTTTCTCTGCTGTTAGCCCGGAAGAAAAAAGCCTACTCTGATGGAGAGGAGATAATTAAAAATAGTCTGGCAATATTTGCTAAAAATGTGGGAGATGTAAAGATCAAAAATATGGTCGATAATATTGCATTATCCCGAAATACAGTCATGCGCCGTATAGATGATATGGGCCAGGATGTTGTTTCCCAAATTATAAGTGGATTACAATCCTGCAAATTCTTTTCTTTAGCGTTGGATGAAAGTTGTGACAACACAGAAAATGCGCAGTTAAGCATTTTTGTCCGTTATACCAATGATAATTTTGAAAATGTTGAAGAGCTTCTGGATTTGCGCCAACTAGTCACAACAACAGGAGAGGACATTTTTCAACAGCTTAAAAACGTAATCGAAGTCAACAAAGTTGAATGGTCAAAATTAGATAGTGTTTGTACCGATGAAGCTCCCTTGCATGGTTGGTAGACTAAAGGGGTTTGTTACATTACTGGAAAACTATTTGGGAAGAAAAGTTTTTAAGTACCATTGTATTATTCACCAGGAAGCTCTTTGTGCCAAGGACCTAAACATGTCATCTGTTGTTGACCCTGTAATACGCTGCATTAACAAAATACGAGCTCGGGCATTGAATCGACGACCATTTCGAGAACTGTTCGCGGAAGAAACGGAGCAAGATGGAGAGTTACTTCTCCATTGCAGTGTGCGCTGGCTCCCCAAAGGAAATGCACTCGAAAGGTTTTGGAACTTGAAGGAGTGCGACTTAAAATATTTGCAAGAAAACAATGAACTACCCAGTGAGTGCTCGTTACTTAATGATAAAGATTGGCTTTGGGATTTAGCTTTTCTCACTGATATTATGAGACATCTAAATCTATTAAATTTAAGATTACAGGGAAAAAATTGTATTTTTCCTACTCTAGTTGGTCATATATCTTCTTTTGTGAATAAACTTATGCTTTTTAGTGACGATTTTGGAGAACAGAGATTGACACATTTCACATTAATGCAGGAATTAGCCAACAAGGTCAGTAGAACTCCAAATTATGACAGATTTAAAAACCTTATATCTATTTTGCTAGGTTCATTCAATACCCGGTTTGAAGATTTTCAAAAAGACAAAATGAATGTTGACCTTTTCATAAATCCTTTTTCTATTTCTCTGCAAGATATCAATTGTTACTTAGCTGGAATACAGATCGAAATTACTGATTTACAGAACCACACTATATTAAAAACCAAATATAGGGAAATTATTTCAACTGTAACTGATCTCAATTATATTGAATTTTGGAAATTTGTACCAGCAAATAATTTTCCTAATTTACACGAGTTAGCTCTGAGATATTGTTGTAGATTTGGTTCAACGTACGTTTGTGAGCAAATGTTCTCTATTATGAACATAATAAAATCAAAATATCGGTCACGATTAACTGACATGCATTTAAAAAATCTAATGTTGTTGGCTAGTTCCGAAATTAATCCTAATATAGATGAATTAATTAAAAAAATACAAGTTCAAATATCACATTAAATAAGTAACTGTTTAATAATTTGTATTTTAGATAATAAGAAAATATTTAATTTTTTTGTTTAACGTTTTTATTTTATTTTTAATAACAATAAAGTAAGTTTGGTGTTATGTTATACTTATTACGTTATTTTTTAAACCTCCACTATCTTGACTAAACGGAAAAATGTGGAATTTACATAAGAAATACATATTGTACCATATATTATTAATATAATATAGTATCTATATTAGTATGTCGAAAAATTTTAGTGGCACGCCAAATTTTTTTTGTTCTCATATTAGTGGCACTCGACTTAAAAAGATTGGCCACCCGTGATTTAAACGTACTCAAAAGTTTGGGTGGATTGAAGGCTGCGCACCCCTCTTAATGTTGTTTTTTCATCTTTATGAAAAATACTTTCAAAACAAGAAAGTAACGTGTTCATTTTTATTACAAGAGATAACGCAAGAAAAAAATTCTTTTTTAACTTCAAAGGGCAGTAACTTTTTGCGTACACTTTTGTACTAAGGTAAGTTGGATTCAATCAATTTATTTTTGTCCCCGGAAAGCGTTATTAATTTATGACATACCTTTTTGAAACACATTGTATACTGGCTTGTTTACTGGTAAAATGCGCACATACATATATACATGAACACCAAAATTCAAAATAGCACAGAACACAATGGCTTCCACTACAGTAGGCACTGTAAGGATCGGTTAAGTATATTAATATTATTAGTATATATATATATATATATATATATATATATATATATATATATATATATACTTCATTCATTTACACTTATTTTTTTTAAATTATCCATTGTTGGAAGTTAATCGTTGATTTTCTTAGTTCTTTGCATCATTTACGTTATAATTTAATATATATTTTTTATACTTCGGACCACATGGTCACTCACTGTGCTAATTTTTTAATAAGTCACTAAGTGTTGTTAGTAAATTAAATGTTTATACATTTCTACTTTATATTGTCCATTTATTCAAGTTTAATTCATAAGCTTGTTAACATCTTTGACTGCTACATGTCTTTTTAAGGTAACACCTGTAACATCTTTTCCATGATTGTGTGGTTTTTATATTATACTTTTTAGAATGAACTGATGATGCTTTCAGAATACGAAAGCGAAACGTTTTCAAAATAGATAGAGTGGCACATCAACTTTGTCTTTCATTTCTCCACCTACAAATTGACCGATATAAGAGCCCACTACTCTGTTGAGTGATCCTTTTATATATTGGAATTTGACGGTCGTACTCCTTTTTCCGATATATATATATATATATATATATATATATATATATATATATATATATATATATATATATATATATATATATATACATATAAATATATATATACAGGGTGTCCCATAATTAATTGGACATTAGCTAATGGGTGATAGCTGACATTAAAATAAAGCGTTTGAGCTCAAATTGCTTAGGCAAAATGTTGCTAATTTTCGTTCTACAGGATGATTCATTAATATTTTTTTATATTATTTTTAGGGATATATTGAAAACTATTCAACTGATTTAAGTAAAATTTGATATCTTGCTATTATTTAGTATGCTTAATATGAAAATGTTATTAGTTTTACCGATGACACTAGGTGGCGCCACCTACAATAACATTGGTTCATTAATGGGGCCATAATTTTTTTCCCGTCTTGTATAAACAGTCTAGGAAAAAAACATGAAATAACATTTAATTCTACACAAAAAAGGTATTCTTGTTTTAAATCAAAAAAGTACACCGTTTTCGAAATAAACGTGTTTTTTCGAGACGTGTATAAAATAAAAAATTTTACAAAAACTTATGTAAATTCAAACATTATTCAAAAGGTCTTAAATATAAGTGAATATTAAATGTATTAGTAGTAGAAAATTTTTGCAAACAAAATGCATATGATTGAAACAATTATTTTTATTAAACCTTTGACTCAGTAACAAATTTTTAAAAAATTAGAAATTAAATTAAACAATGAAGTGAATATAAAACAATTAACAAAATGAATAATTCAAAACGAAACGAAAAACAATTACAATAAATGTTCAAAATGTGCACCATTAGATAAACTACATAATCTACATCTTTTGTGTAAGTTTTGTCTTATTTTAAATAATGAGTTTTTTTTGGGCCCTAATTACGTTAACTCCCTCTACACTATTTTGCGATAACTCTTGACGGTTATTTGTTTTTTTTTATAAACAGTAGCCCTTTTATAAACAGTAGCAGTTTTTTAGGTAGCCCCACAAGTGAAAGTCTAGGGGAT